CACTACCACCGAATACCCATGCAAGCGTAAATTAACACGAATATAAAATCTAAATGATTTCAAGATCAAGCTATTTCAGTCTCTTTCTGCCGTTTGAAAAATAATTAGTCAGTCGTTTGCTTGTAAATTTCGAGAGAAAAAAATTGTAACTGAACCAGTCTGACTAGAGCCAGCCCGAACTATCAACTTGCGTTTATAGACGCAAGTGGATACTTGGAGCTGGCTTTAATCAGACTGTAACGGGACTTGAATTTTTTTTATTTTATTTTTGCCGAATCAAGTTCCCATGTATTTCTCAGCCTACGTTAACTTTCTCAGGCCTCATTCCGATGTTGATGTCTGCCCTGTGTAGACTTGGTCTATAGGGTTACAAAGCTAGCACTTTATTTTTAAAATGTTTCCGAAACTATATCGGATTTACTCTGTACAAACCAATGATTTTCAGAGACTGTTTACACTTGGAACATAGGGAAAGTTATTCGGCAAAATAAGCAAGTTAAACCACGTTTTTTACATTCCATACTAACAAACTATTTTCTGTATGAGTATCAAAGTCTGCTTATATTGTGCTTTTTCGCCTAATTCTATCCGTATTCTCATTCCGATAAATTTCCTTGTTCCATTTTGCCCGAGCGGTGTTTTTGACGACTATTTTAACATGAATTAATATTTGTTTTTTCACACATCATCCCAAGTGTCTATAGATTAAATTTCGACTTTCAAAACAAAATTTCATGGCGATACGGCGCGCATCATGAATAAGTATTTATTGCAAAAATAAACCAAGAATAAAATAAAGTGTTAAAACTCAGTCTGTTATGCATAAAAACATATATAAGATAAATCGTGCAGATGCTTAAATATTAAAGAAACACAATATTTAAAAGTAAAGTAATACATTTTTAAAGGTTAACAATGAGCAGAAGAATTGCCGGAAAACGATAAAGCAATCTATGTCAAATAAGTTAACCGTTACGTATTGCATCAAAACTCTCAGCACTCTACATCTAGGGAAAGTTACCGTTAAAAATGTCACATAATGAATTACCAAAAATATTTTTTTTTATTATTTAATCACTTTGTGATTGCAGAACCTGCTGCATTGGCTTGTATGTGTGAACGTTATTCGATAACGTCAGGAACGATAACTCGTGGCGTAACGTCATTCGGTATCGTGTTACCTTAAGACCAATAATACAGGTTTTAATCCAGATATAACAGAACATTTACATTCTCAATCGATGACCCATTAAATTAAGGTCAACTTCAGATAAACCCTGTCAGATGGAAATGTAAACCTTACAATCATTCTATACACTCACTATAGTTGGGACCTAATCATGAAAAGTTAATGTTGATCAAACATAAAAATAAGGTCAAGGTCACAATCGGATAATCAGGTTCACCTTTAAATCATTCTGTACTCAAAACATAGTTTACCTATTACTTATAGTATCAGAGAAACAGACTGAGGACAGACCTAATCATGAAAACTAAATGTTGACCAAAAACCATGAAAATTAGGTCCAGGTCAGATGAACTAAGTTGGACAGCCATATACACCTTACATTTGTTCTATCCATTGAATATATTGATGAATTATTAAAAGTGTTGGAGGAACTAATTCCTAATCCACAAAACTGATCATAAATGACTAAACCATGACATTGGGGCACTGTCAGGTGAACCCTGTCGGAAGGACATGCATACCTTGCAAAGATTTATATACCAAATATAGTTGTCCTTATTACACATAAAAACAGTCAAATTCATGTAACAAAAAAAACTATACAATTTTTAAGTGGTCATTGGACCTCAAAAATTGGATAAAGACAACGATGATGGATCATATGCCAGATGTATACCTCAGACCATAAGGCATCTCTGCATACCAGATTGTATTATTCAGCTCTTCCAGCATCTGGATAATTTAGTTTTATACAGACAACTCCAACACCAGATCAGCATCCCTGTGTTTTGTATGTGACAGGTAATTTGCTCATTGCTCAAGGCCATACAGTGACCTATAGTTGTTAATTGTATGTCATTTGGTCTTTGGTGGAGAGTTGTCTCTTTGGCAATCATTCCACATTTTCTTATTTTTATAAGACAATATAAAATTAGATAATTTAAGCATTCTTGATCTATTTAAAGCATTGGCAGCCAATCAGGTAATCATCAAATCTAATGAACAATTCTGTAAGGTACTGGTAATGCCTAAAGCATCATTTGTCTTGTTCAAACCAGCAAAGAAATTTCATGAACAATTCTAAAAGTTTAAAGATCGATATGATAGACACAAAGTGACATCTGCCTCATACCCTAGACCACAGAAACCTCTTCCCCCTTTATTAGTAATTCAGACTCACATAAAATATAACTTGTATAAGATGTGTTTTCTTCAATACATTTTATTTATCAATTAATTGTACTATTATTATGCATCATGATACACAATACCCAAATGTACAAGACACATTCTGCTTCATCAGCTGTGTATAAACATCAAAGAAATAGAAATAACTAGTAATAAGCCTTTGGTCACGGTTATCAACTTTACAATTAAAAGGAGGAAAAGGATCTGCATCATGGGTTATGTATCATTAGGAAGACATTACAATTATACAAAATTTCTGACATTACTGATGATTCTTTGTAATTTCATGGATACCAGTTCTCAAACTGGAAAAGGATTGGTTTTGAGATACATGAACCAAATTTTGTTATTATTACTTCCTATTAAAGTAGCGTTTCTTTGTTTAATATATAAACTTGAGGTTTTCAATTGCTTACCAAACTTATAAAAAAGGATAGAATGTCATAAAACATAGAATCATCAGTTTGTCTCAGCTTCTGAAAAGGACATTCAAAAACATTACATTTCTTATACAATAGGAATACAAGGTAAAAACTACAATAAAAAATGTTTTAAAATACATGAATCAAATTCATTTTTGAGGTGTACTCAATTTATTTACTGGGTAATTAAAATAATCTAAATATCTTGACCTGTGCAAAAATTATTAGATCACCAAGGAAATAGTTAACTGTATTCCTTTAAATTTCTTATTTTTAACCCCAACCTGTTTTATTATATAAATGTTCTTTTTTATGCAAAGTTAGTTTTTTGTATTGAAAAAGTATATTTATATTTTTCAAGGACCTTTACTTTTTTTTATATTAGCTGAGATAACTACTAAACAGTTATTATTTCGTTATTTATCCATTAGATGTGCTGTGGTGAGTAAGTGTATCATCTGTTTGCTTATCCATCTACAAATTTAACCCACAATTAAAGGATTAAATAAGACTTTTCCTAAACTTTCAAATAATCTTTAGTATCTGTTGACAGTGTACCATTTTTAAATTTCTTAAGGTTCTCCATTTGAAGAATGGATTTTAACATTTCTTACATTTTATAATTCATATTGAAGGATAGGATGGTTCAGCTGATGTTAACATAGATTTAGTTAGAGCAGATTTTGAACTTGCATCCATAAATCTTGTAATTTGGACAATCTTTAAGGACTACATCAATAATTTAATACATTCACTTTCTATTTTATCCTTTAAGAAAGAGTTAAAAGCATAAAATGTCAGATCTCATCATGTAAAAAGATATTTTGTATTGCATGTATAAGCAAAATCTATCAATTTTCCCCACAAACTCAATCATATTAAGGCTTGATACAACAAGATTTGACAATAAAATCAAATAAAATCAAATAAAATCACATAAAAACCACTAAAATCAAATAAAATCACATAAAAACCACTAAAATCAAATAAAATCACATAAAAACCACTAAAATAATATAAAACCAGATAAAACACAAATCTTGTTATAGCAAAGCCTTATAAAATGGTAATATATTAGTGTCTTAAAGTAGAATTTATTCTGAATTCTTGTTAATGCTATGAAAATTTTGTCATAATGTGATCCAACTATCAAAAACAAGATTAAAAACAAAACAAAAAATATTCAAACCAACCTATCCTTCACATGACAAAATTGTTGTACAAGATGCTTCCTTCTGAAGTTAATCAAAATATTTAAAAAGTCCATTCATTGCAATTGGGAATCCCAAAATTTCATTATAATAAAATAAAATACACATTGCCATTATTTATAGAAGATAATCTGAAAGTTTCAATGAAAACCTTCCAACAGAATATAAGCTGTGGATGAGAGATGATGATGGACAAACAGACAAATCTTCTTTAACATCCAATTTTTGCTCACCTCGAGTGAAGAAGGTCATGGGACTTGGATCCCCTGCTGGGTCAAACCAAAGAATTAAAAATTGGTATTTGATATTAGGTAAGGTGGAATGTCTTCCTGTTGACTGTTACATTGTGAATTAGCACATTAAAAAATCCAGCTCAACGTGCTGGTCTAGTACAAAGCATTTATGCATTTAATTTGAGACTGGACGTTAAACAGCCATCTATCCATAAAAATCAAAGAAAAACTTATTTTACAGTTTCCTGATTAATCTTAGGAGGGGTAAATAATTCTTAAGAAGTTGAGTACAATCCTCAAAAAACAAACCATATAATTATAATGTCCTTAAAATATAAATAATGATGAATGATGAAAAACATAAAACTCAATCATATGAAAATGAAAAAAATAAAACAAACTGAAAAAACTATATAATTATTTTCACTCGAGTGGCCTCAGATGCTAAATAATACATTTATAATATATAAACAAAACCAATAAATAAAACTGACAGCCATTAGTTTGTATAAATGTACAGAAAGTGGAGTCAAACCAAACCTAACATTTTTATTTGCAGTAACCAAGTTTATATTGTATCAAAAACTGCGTACTTAAATTGTTTAACAGGGGAATTTTTTTTATATACTCCCTATAGTGTTTGGCCATCCAAGTCCTACTTTATTGGTTTCTAACTGGCAAAATTCATTTCACAAAGAACTTGTAAGACTTACACGTACATAACTTAAAAAATATATGTAAACTGACGAGTCTTATGGGTATTTCGTGAAACCATATGGCATACTTTTGAGTCCCCTCAAATAACAATAATTTCACAGCTTTATTTTTCATCAATCACTATACAATAATGGAATGCAAGTACAAATAAGGAAAAAAATATTTATAATTTGGATTTTAGATAAATTGATACAGCATTAAAAACTAAATTTGTTAACAATTCATTCTTCTGCTTACAAGACTACTGTCTACAGATTCTACTAAAAAATATTGCAATAGTTCATCCAATGGTTTCAGGATTATTGCCTGAGGATTTTACCATACAAGGCAGCAACAGTAACAATTTCAACTGTAAAAGAAATAAAGTAAAGATTTAATTTTTAAATCTTAATATTAAAATAATCAGTCTATGTTTGTTTTTTTTTATAATTGTTGATTCCTCCAAAATATATAATATCAAAAATGAACAGCTTTTGTAAAAACGAAAATCTCAATACACCAAAGTAAATTTTTTGGACTTTACCACCACTTGACCTCAAATACTTGAACAATAATTTGAAATTAACAAATGCAGAAACTGCTGATAAATTGATAAGCTCTACTATCCATATACAGGTACTCACATAATACAAACACAAAATTAGACGTTAAGCAAGCAACAATCAATCAATCAAACACAAAATTAATGTCTATTTTGTTGTTTGGTTGTTTAATGTTTACTCCCCACAAAAAAAAATATTCTCCATAAAATGTAAAATGTAGGAATAGATTCTTTTGAAATTTGTATTGAAAATATGCAAGACTGAATGAAAGGCAGTTATTATACATCATTTTTATACCAGCACTGGTGTTTAACCGTAACATAATATCAGGTTATCTCCCCTTCATATCTCTTATTCAGGACCTGCTAATAGGGTATGACATTTATTAAATGACAAGTGAGACAATACATATTATTGAATACTGATTCACTTCTAAAGTAAAGGTAAAACATTTCATATTGAAATCTATTTAGGATTCATATACAATCAAACCTGCTTAAGAGACCACCTGTATTAAACAAAAATATGTGCTATAAGACCATTAACTTTATGTCCCTCTGTAGTGTATTGGATATAGACTGAACCTGTATTAAGAGATTACCTGTCTTACAAGACACTTCTTTGCTCTCACTGAATTTTTCTCTTAAAACAGAGTTCACTGTATAAATAGGGGCATTTGGTCCATAACATAACATAAATAAATCCAAGTTGTAAGTTGAGGATAAATTCTCACCTTAAAACAGCTCTAATTGCTATCCCAGCAAGTAACCCTATGGAAATGCTGTGATGCTAACCTGGAAAACAAAGATGGTCTGTTATTCTAAATTTTTCCCAAAAAAATCTCTATATCATCGTAATAAATTTAAAATAGAATTTTGATAACAAATAAATGTCATGAAAAAAAAAAATTTGGTATTCTGAATCGCTCATTTAAAATTTGCAATAAAAAAATCAACTTGTGTTTCATCATATTGTATAATTAATTTTTGGTACTTTTATAAAATTGATGCCAAATACTATAAAAATTATTCCAAAAAAGCTTGAATACGTACCAATATGTTAACAGTGTCAGATATCCAAGTCTTACTCCCAACACCATGAAAACCTTGTCATTACAACCACCTTGAACAGAAACAAAAAAAGAAAATAAAGTTGTTTTACCAATCAATTATGCCTAAAAAGACTACAACGAAATCATGCTGTTTTTTTTTTATTTCTTAAAAATTGTATATTACCATCTTCAGTATGTAAACGTGATACCACATGTAGAAACCAAATAAATACAGGAAATACAAAGGATCATAGTTATGTTAAAAACAAAAATGTTTTGTAATGATGTAGATATCCTCAAAATCAAACACTTATAAAAAAGAACCCTCAAGTCATAAGAGAAAAAATATTTTAAATGCCTATAATTATCATCATATTGTTACCATACATTTTGTGGGATACTGTTAACAGGAAAATTTTCACGGCAGTTTTATTTTCGAGGTAAGAATTGAAACGTGAAAATAAAACTACCGGAAAATTTCAAGGAAACTCTATTCATAAGAGGAAAACCATACATGAACCTATATGAATAGGATATGTTGAGGACCACTGTATAACACGGATTTTACAGACAGATCGATACCAGGCTCAAATCATAACTGTATTTCTAAATGAAAAGCAAAGTTAGAAATCATGACTTTAACTCAAGTTAATCTCATTAACATTGAAGCATACCTGCCAACCCTCCCGATTTGAGCGGGAGACTCCCGCTCAAATGACCAAATGTCGGAAATCTCCCCCTTGCCGGTCCCCTCCCACGCGGTAGTATCGAATCTCCCGCTTTTGGATATTTTACCTTGAATTGACCAGTCAACATTAATAACGTTTTTGTGTCACTGATGAGGGTATTTTTTACCTGTAAATCACAGTCCATGTGAAAATTAAATGGCTTCACATGACAGCTTGGGTGTCAAACATAATACTAATTAAAGATCATTAATGACTTTTACCTCAAGCTTTGTATATTTGAAAACACTTCAAAGAAATTTCGGGTAAATTCCCCTGTTTAATCCTGTTTTATGTTACCCTACTTATATGATATAACCATGATTGAAGAAATAAAGTATATCTATTTACTCTTTTTTGTGTTTTGTAAATGAACTGGGACTATTATACTAAGTATTATTATTAGTATAATAGTCCCAGAAATGAATAAACAAACAGGTCATATTTTTCACTTGAAAATGTCGTTCGCGCAAAATCTCCCCCTCAGCTGTCTTAGCTGAGGGGGAGATCTCCCTCTGAAGGTTTCAGAGGTTGGCAGGTATGATTGAAGACATCTCAAGCAAGCGGACATTACAGATATTGTATATATGTAAACAACACTCATTACAAATATGTAAATGACACCTGTCAATCAGTTATACACGTATAACCTCGTTGAATCTGCAACACAGATTAATCAGATCAAAAGATCAAAAGATCGATTAATTAGCATTAATCCTGACAGCATTTTATTTTAATTCACTCTTTATTTAGGTCTTCTTTTCTGTTATTGTGTATGTGTTTTTACAAGCAAACATGTCAACTTTTAATCTCAACATTAATGAACCGAAAACAAACGATTTCTGATTGATTTTATCACTTGATTTACTATACATGTAAAGCTGTTTACTTTCTATATCTTTGTGAAAATATTTATATAGGCCACAGGGAAATCGCAAATTCAAAATGGCGCGAATTTAGATTGTGTTCATAAATGCGGATTAAGGACCCGGTTTACAGTATTTAGACTTACCAAATATTTTTCTTGCTAAAGCCTGAGACTTGGTTGAAGATTTAATTGACCATCTTCCATGGAGCTGCTCTCCTGGCTGCCAACTTGAAGGTGGCTGTCCTCATTATCTTATTGTCAATCTATTTTTTTTTCCATTTGTATTTACAAAAATAAAAGTTATACATATCAAAAATGTCAGATGCACTTTCAAACAATCCCCTTTTTTGAAAATTTTACCAAATCACTTTAGTGACCTATAATTTCTTCCCCCCTATGTATCTATTATCTAGAGCTTTGCTTACTTTTTTTTTTATTTACAGAGCTCTAAATAATAGTTAATTTTAGCTAGTAAACATCTGATATTTAAAAAAAAAAAAAAAAACTTTTACAAATAAAATGAATATTTAAGTAACAAACAAATCATATTCCCTATCATTGAGGGAATTTCAAGCAGGGGTATTACCTCCCTTTACTATAAATTTCACCCTGTTGGGACTCCACATTCTTGCTATATTTAACAAAAATACAAAATATAGTATCACTAAAATTAGAAATTTAATAACAAAAATCCAAACACATTTCAAAACATTTGGTATTTTAATTTTCACTTTGCGTTCAACTCTAATCTTAATTGACTAGGATTTCCCGGTTTTCTTTATGCACTCTGGCTTCCTTCACTTATAAAAACTGGCAACCAATCATGATGAAAGTGGAGTTAAACACTAAGATCAATCTATTTTCATCAAGATGTTCTTCAACTATGCTACTTGTAAGATATTCTTAAAAGTTGTTAGCAATTAAGCTAAAAATTAAAAAAAGTTGGAACAGACATATATCAACAATTCTGGAAACCAAAAAATACATTTCAATAAAATGACATTTGTTTCTTTTTTTTCATTTTTTTTTTTCTTTTTTTTTTTTTTTTTTAAGATTCTTCATTCTGAACCTACTGGAAGTGTTTTGACTAGACACGGACCATTATTAATATTTCTTAAGTAGGTCTTCAAGTAAAATTAGTCCGTTTCACTTCATTTAAAAAAAAAGAATAAAAATTAATATGTCAAGGCAATAATTGACATGAGAAGAGCTACCAAAATATTGCCATAGGGCTTTAATGGAAAAAAGAAAACGAAATTTTGAATTTCAAATACAATTTAACCTACAACTTCCAATCTTGTTGAAAATGGAGAATCTTTACACATTTTTTTTTTTTTTTTTTTTTTAAATTATAAAAAATTTTTCAAGCGTACACAAAAATTGTCTAAATTACATTCTTCACTGTTACAGTGATATCACACAGTCATTTTATGCAGCCACAGTAAAAGTTACCTGAAAAAGAAATAGACATTCTGAAGCATATCTGTCAAACTATATGAAAATTGAAACATTATTCTGGCAAAGGAATCATTAACTGGGCATTACAATAATGATGCATACATTTCTTTTATTAGTTTTTAAGTGATTTGTTGCCATAAATTTAAACTACCAAAAAACAAAAAAGTATGGTCGAGTCTGACATATTTGTTTTTCGTTCATTGTTTTATCATATATCAGGCAGATGGAGATCTTGTTTGAATTGTTTCACATTTTGTCATGTTGGGGCCTTTTATAGCTTACTAAACAGTCTAGATTTTACTCATTGTTAAAAGCTGTAACGTGACCTTTAGCTGCATACATCCACATCATTTGGTCTCATTTGCAATTATACCACATCTCTTAATTTTTATATATGGGACTATTTAAGATAACAAAAAACATAATATTTTCCTAAATTATAGTTTTTTACTTCTTTATTTACTTTCTTCCAGATTATATATACAATTATAACTTAAGAAACATTAAAATGTAAGATATACATTTGTGCATTATAAAAATCTATCGCATTTATATGCTCTTGGATGAATAGGTCATAAATCTATGTATTGGTTCTTACCATAAATTTCAGCTCCAATGACCATTCCCAGCCTCAATCCTTACAGATAAGCTGTGAAGCTAACCTGAAATATAAAATGCTTAGTTTTCAAAATTGTTTAAAAGGATCACTGTTGGTATATTGTGTTGGTATACTGTATCTATATTATACATAAATGGGTTATATTTATATGTTACAGATATTGAGAACATATCAATTAGACAGCAATCCAACAACCGAACAAACTTTACATAATCAGTTCAGATGGGCACAGGACGTTTGCGCTTTTTTACCTGTAACACGATAGGACATTTGCGCTCCAAACACTATGGACATTTGCGCTTTAAATTTTGATACACCTGTATTAAATTGACCGGACATTTGCGCTTTTTACCTATAGACGTGTACCTGTGATTTAATGAATTGTAATAATTACGTAAATAAATTCAACTTATATCTGTGCTTAGATACTTCACATTGACATAGTCTTGAACATAGAGTTTAAAGTTATAGACTAGTAAAGGAAATTTTTGTTTTATGTCACAATGGATTTTTATCATTGAATAACAGTCGGTTAATTACAATACAATTTGTGATATTGATGAACAGGGACCTCATTCAAATAGTTGAGAAAGAGAAACTAGAATATTTATTTGAAATGTGGGCAAAATACCAGGGGGACAGATTACAAGAGCTAAATTTGTTCATTCCCTGAGCTTCAGATATCAAGCGAAAAATGACTTGTGATGACTAAACACGTCTTTATGTCTTTAGAATGTTAACTTTTAGCTATAGATAACAATATTAATGTGTTATAAAATAACTTTTAAACATGATTGTGCTATGAATTAATGACTATCCAACTTTTAACAATAATGACAATTATGACTTTAACTTTGCCAGGTCAAACCTACCGGTCCTAAGCCCAGATTAAATAGGATGGAATTCAAAAGAAGCAAATATTGTAAAAGCGCAAATGTCCTATGTAAAAAGCACAAACAACCTTTTTTAAAAAGCGCAAATGTCCAATAAATTGAAGTGCAAATGTCCATTTAAAAAAGCGCAAATGTCCTATGAAAAAGCGCAAACATCCCGCGCCGGTTCAGATCCTTATTAAATCTTCTCATATAATAATACAGATAAACAAAAATAGTAGATTTCTAACCAAACTCGTAAAAACTTTCAAGCCTAGAGCAAATAATATTAAAAATTTTCTATTATTAACCAATGACTTAAAATACATTATAAATTGTCCAGTTAATACAATTCCATGTGTCTTAGAACTGGTCGTTTGTTCCGATACAGAAAAACCAGTTCATACAGAATTTTTACTGGTCTTAATACAAGATTTTAACTTACGGTTTTTTGGTTCAAAAAGGGGTCAGAAAATGGATGTGTGTATTACTTGAAATATTAGATTTCAACAAATTTGATGTTAAAGTTGTTATTTTTCATACGATATAATTTTTTTCTTTTAGCACCGGTATATATAAATTAAAGACCATTGAAAGGGTGAATAGCCAGAATTGTCAACCATAAAAAGACTATTTCTCTGCGGGTGCAGTAGGGTTGACAATCTTGGATATGCACCGCTTGGAAGGGGCAACATTTGTTTAATTATACCAAACTAACAATAGATGGGCCTTTCATGAACTATTTAAAGTGCATGTTTTAGAAGCTCTTCTACGCGTATTAATATTTTGACCACCTTAATGGGGTTAACCCAGTATACTGTAGTACCATAACAAAATGTTAGAGAATTATTTTGTGTCTTAAAATGCCTCATATATACAACAAAAGAACACTCTTTCTGTAAAATAATGATGGCCCTGAAAAGGGTCGTTTGTGAATGCTATCCTCGGCACCAGATGGATTTCACATACTTTTTTCTTCATCTCACCACGTACTTCCAACCTAGCCATTTCCATTTTGTTTACAAACGTCAATGACATCATTTTGATGGGAGATAGCTTGTGTTAAAATCAAGAGGCTCAGAGTTATTTACTGATGAATGTATATAAACTTTTAGGGCTATTCAACTCTCCTTGCATTTAAATGAAAAACCCAATTAGTTTATATTGTTCATGTAGGAGTTTTTCTACCTTCGAATTTGTCCTCGATCAGCTTCTGGTGGCTATTCCAAGTCATTGGTTAATAAGGTGTCATAAAATGGGTGTTTTCATATTAATCCTGTATTATGTCCTTGTACAGTCGTTTTGGGTCTCATCAGCTGTATTGGCCCTCAGCTACACCTCGAGCCAATACAGCTAACCTCGACCCAATACAACTACTTGAACATAATATAGGATTAATAAAAACAACCATTCAATAACACTATATTATACATCTGTTACTTTTTTAACATGGAATAACATACTGGTACTGGTACCTACCTACATATTAGCTGTATTAGACCACCAAGTCTTATTCCCACACCATGAAAACATGTCACAGAAAGAACCTAAAATGAAATAAAAATTGACACATTACATAATTTTACAAATCAATTCTGTCAACCTAAAATTTACTTAATACTTTTCTGATTTCTAACTACATTTACACATAATATAGCATCACCACCAGTTTGTAAAATTGATTTTAAAGATGGAAAAACAAAGTAAAAGTTTAGGATTTAAATTTCAACTGTGCAAAAATCATCTGCATATTTAACAAAAAGTTATCTCCCATTGAATAAGAAAATCTTGATGCTAAGTGTACTAGTCTCCCCTTGATGTTAAATTTGCTTTTGCTATTCTAATAGAAAATCTTGTTCATGCACCTGGCAATTGAAAATATTACACTGGTAAGTTAGTCAATGGTGTTTTGCAAGCAGAAAATCAGGATGCAGTTCGTCTTGGTATGCTCTTTTTTATCAAATATTTCTAGAGAAAGTACAGAAATTGTTTGGCTCAAATAAACTTGCCTTCTTATTTTCTAGGTAGAGCCTCAGACTTGGCTGAAGATTTATTTAACCATCTTCCATGGAGCTGCTCTCCTGGCTGGCAAGGTGGCTGTCCTCATATTATGGTCAATCTATTTTTTTTCTGCATTTCTTTTTAAACATAAAGTTTTATATATAAAAAATATCAGATGCACTTTCAACTAATAACCTTTTTCAAAAATTTCACCAAATCATTTTTTATGACCCATGAGTTTCCCCACCATACATATCTATTATCTAGAGCTCTGTTTACATCTTTTTTTTATTACAGAGCTCTTAATAATAGTCAATATTAGGTAGTATACATCTGATATTGAAAAAAGTTATACAAAAGTGAATATTCAAGAAAATAAAAAGCTAACACTGAGGGAATTAAGTATGTGGAGTTTAACAGGGGTTATAATAAATTACCTCCCTTTGATCTAAATTTCACCCTGTTAGGACTCCACATCCTTGCTGTATTTAACAAAAATACAAAAAACAGTCTAATGAAAATTAAAAAATAATTTAATACCAAAAATCCAACACTATTCAAAAAAATATTAAGTACATTTTTTACTAAAATTTCACCTAGGACCTTTGTGGCAGAGTGGTCCAAGTAGTTCTACTCAATCACTAGCATGTCAACATTGAGGTTGTGAATTCAAACCCTGCATGTTGTATGGGCATTTAATCAATCTTAATTGACCAAGATTGCTTGTTTACTTGCCAAAAGTCTGTGATTCTCTCAAGGCACTCCAGTTTCAGCCATTAATAACTGGCTGCCAAGATATAGCCAATCATGCTAAAAGTGGTGTTAAACACCAAAAATCTATCATCAATCTATTTTTAACAACTTAGTTTAATTCAGATGAAAATAACAAAAAGGTTCCAAAAATATATATCTAACAATCTGAAACCCAAAAATTACATTGCAATAAAATAACATTTGTTTTTTTGTTTTTTGTTTTTTGTTTCTTTTGTTTTTTTTTCTTTTTAGATTCTCTATTCTTAACCTACTGAAGTTATTTGACTCATGGACCATTATTCATATACTGGTATCTAAAGTAGATCTTCAAGTAAAATTGGTCCATTTCACTTCATTTTCAAAGTAAGAATTAAATCTTGACAGATGGGAAAAAAAATGAATACGATATGAACTTTAATTTCATTATTACAAAACTACATACCAAAAACTAGTTCAGTATCCATATAAGCTTATAAGCATAACAAAAAAAAATGTCAAGACAATAATGGACATGTGTAGAAATACCAGAATACAGTCATGGGTTTTAATGAAAAAAAGAATGAGAAATTTTGAAATTTCAAATACAAGTTAAGCTAGAACTTCCAATACTGTTGAAAATGGAGAATCTTTACACATTTTTTTTGTTGTAAAAAATTATAAACATTTCCTCAAACATACACAAAAATTGTGTGAATTACATTCTTTGCAGTTATACCACACAAACATTTTATGCAGCCACAGAAAAAAGTCTCCTGAAAAAGAAATAGTCATTCTTAAATATATTTGTTAAAAAATTGAAACAATATTCAATGCAAAAGAATAATTAACTGGGGATCATAATTATGATGAATATAACATTTCTTTTACTTTGTTTAAAAGTGTTGGCATCAATTTAAAACTACCATTCTTTATCAGAAAAAAAGTATGACAAGAGTGCACACGCTGAAATGTCTCGCCTTCTTTACTAACCATTGATTTTATGTTGATAGTCCTAAATACAAAGCTTTACTACAAGTAACACATAAACTTAACATGATCTAAGAAAATGAGGTCAAGGTCAGATAAACCAAATGAGAAATACATGTACACCTTACAATCATTCAATTAACCAAACATAGTTGACCTATTGCTTATTGTTTCTAAGAAATAGTCTTAAACAAGAAAACTTAACATTGACCAATGAACCATGAAAATGAGGTCAAGGTCAGATGAACCATGCCAGACAGACATGTACACCTTCAATCAATCTAGGCATTAAATATAGTTGACATATTGCTTATAGTATCTAAGAAACAAACTTAACCATGAAAACTTAACTTTGAACACTGAACCATGAAAATGAGGTCAAGGTCAGATGACACCTACCAGTTGGACATGTACACCTTACAATCATTCCATATACCAAATATAGTAGACCTACTGCTTATAGTATCTGATATATGGACTTGACCACGAAAACTTAACCTTGTTCACTGATCCATGAAATGAGGTCGAGGTCAAATGAAAATTGTCTGACGGGCATGAGGACCTTGCAAGGTATGCACATACTAAATATAGTTATCCTATTACTCATAATAAGAAAGGAATTAACATCACAAAAAATGTTGACTTTTTTTTCAAGAAGTCACTGAACCATGAAAATGAGGTCAAGGACAATGGTGATATGACAGACGGAAACTTCGTAACATAAGGCATCTACATACAAAGTATGAAGCATCCAGGTCTTCTAGCTTCTAAAATATAAAGCTTTTAAGAAGTTAGCTAACGCCGCTGCCGCCGGATCACTATCCCGATGTCGAGCTTTCTGCGACAAAAGTCGCAGGCTCGACAAAAAACAAGTTGTTTTTTTATGTTTGACATATTTGTTTTTCATTTGATTTATCATATATCAGACAGTTGGTTTTCTTGCTTGAATTGTTTCACATTTTGTCATGTTAGGGCTTTTTATAGCTTACTCTACAGTATACTTTTTGCTCATTGATGAAGGCAGTACAGTGACCTTAGTTGTTAACATCCACATCATTTGGTCTCTGGTTGATAGTTGTCTCATTGGTACATGGAATAACATACTGGTACCTACCTACATATTAGCTGTATTAGACCACCAAGTCTTATTCCCACATCATGAAAACATGTCACAGAAAGAACCTAAAATGAAATAAAAATTGACACATTACATAATTTTACAAATCAATTCTGTCAACCTAAAATTTACTTAATACTTTTCTGATTTCTAACTACATTTACACATAATATAGCATCACATCATGCATACCACATCACCTTATTTTCATATATGGTAACAATTTTAGAAGAGTGCACACGCTGAAATGTCTCGCCTTCTTTACTAATCATTGATATTATGTTGATAGTCCTAAATATAAAGCTTTATTACAATTTGTCACATAAACTTAACATTAACCAAGTAAACTAAACATTGACCAATGAACCATGAAAATGAGGTCAAGGTCAGATGAACCATGCTAGGCAGGCATGTACAGCTAACAATTCTTCCATACAACAAATATAGTTGACCTATTGCTTATAGTTTAAGAAAAACAGACCAAAACACAAAAACTTAACACTGAGCAATGAACCTTGAAAATGAGGTCAAGGTCAAATAAAACCTGCGTGACTGACATATAGATCATAAAATATTTCCATACACCAAATATAGTTGAACTATTGCATATAGTATTAGAAAAAAAGACCAAAACTCAAAAACTTAACTTTGACCACTGAACCATGAAAATGAGGTCAAGGTAAGATGACACCTGCCAGCTAGACATGTACACCTTACAATCATTCCATACACCAAATATAGCTGACCTCTATTGCATGCAGTATTAGAAAGAAAGACCAAAACTCAAAAACTTAACTTTGACCACTGAACCATGAAAATGAGGTCAAGGTCAGATGACACCTGCCAGCTAGACATGTACACCTTACAATCATTCCATACACCAAATATAGCTGACCTATTGCATGCAGTATTAGAAAGAAAGACCAAAACTCAAAAACTTAACTTTGACCACTGAACCATGAAAATGAGGTCAAGGTCAGATGACACCTGCCAGCTAGACATGTACACCTTACAATCATTCCATACACCAAATATAGTAGACCTATTGCATACAGTATAAGAAAAACAGACCAAAACACAAAAAAATTAACTATAACCACTGAACCATGAAAATGAGGTCAAGGTCAGATGACACCTGCCAGTTGGACATGTACACCTTACAGTCCTTCCATACACCGAATATACTAGACCTATTGCTTATAGTATCTGAGATATGGACTTGACCACGAAAACTTAACCTTGTTCACTGATCCATGAAATGAGGTCGAGGTCAAGTGAAAACTGTCTGACGGGCATGAGGACCTTGCAAGGTACGCACATACCAAATATAGTTATCCTATTACTTATAATAAGAGAGAATTTAACATTACAAAAAATCTGAACTTTTTTTTCAAGTAGTCACTGAACCATGAAAATGAGGTCAAGGACATTGGACATGTGGCTGACGGAAACTTCGTAACATGAGGCATCCATATACAAAGTATGAAGCATCCAGGTCTTCCATCTTCTAAAATATAAAGCTTTTAAGAAGTTAGCTAACGCCGCCGCCGCCGCCGGATCGCTATCCCTATGTCGAGCTATCTGCGACAAAAGTCGCAGGCTCGACAAAAACCAAAAAGACAGTGGTGACAAGATTTCCTCATTACAGTTTTTGACTTCCCTAATTTATCTTGATTCCTCCTTTGAGATTATATATACAATTATAAACATTA